AGATGAATTCCTAATCTGTAGGGGGTGGAGACAATATGAAATTCGCCTGACTGCATGTGTGCACCAAGCGTATGACCGCGAATGCATGGGGACCAGGGGCCTGCCTTAAAAATGACTGTTTTATGCTCAAATATATTATTAGTAATCTTCTTACAAATTATATATCCACAAATCATATTTTTCCCCAAACACCAATCCCTGCATCTCAACCAAATTTCTCAACTTGCCCGACTCTGTATTTTTGCCTGATTTTTTTCACCGACTAGGTACCATGGCCCACATCCTCTTTTGTGCATGCCACTGGTCTTATATGAAAATAAGGTTTTATAGCAACCTTACTTAACAGTTTATTTGAATTTCAAAATATGGTTCAACAGCATAATATATAACATCAAAACGAATATGCATCATGTAAAATACAGAATATCTACCTAACATTTGTAACAAAAAATTAGAAATACTAAACAAAATAGTAATAATAATAGTAATAATGATAATAATAATAATAATAATAATAATGATAATAATACTTACAGTAGTAATAAAAACATATTAGTCTTTTAAAGTATGCTTGTAAAACAGCTCATAGGGCTTTCTTCATTGCCATAATGAGAATTGATGTTGGACTTCTGCTTTAGAAAACACAAATTATGTTGTTGAAATAAAATTTAAATATGCACATCATTGGCAAAAAATAAATAAATAAAAAATAATATCCCTATTCAGTAATATTAAAAATAATAAAACTAATAAAATAATAAATTAATAAAACAATAAATAGTAATAATGAAATACATGACAATAAAATTAACAGAAATTTCACTGTGCTTCAGTTGATGTTCCATCTGAACTTTTCTTCGTAATGATTTTGAGAGGCTTCTGGTCGCATCACGGCATTTGTTCAGTTTCGATGCAGAAATTCTCTCACTACTACAAATATATTCAACCAATTTTGTAAATGAACACAGATAATGTTGAATAGTTGAACCTGACATTGTCATTTGAAGTTTTGTTACAGCACTGAAACATTAAATTTTGTGAATAAAGAAGTATAACCATAAAATGAAATAAAAATTCACTAAACTGGTATTGATTTGACATTTTTTTAAATAGCCTAATGACTATGTAGCATAAAAATGCTAATACGGCCCCCACCCCGAAGTAAAAAATGTACACAATGACATTCATTCTACAAAATCCATAACAGCTTACATAATGAAAAGGTTTTCAAATTTAAAGATAATTTTATTTCTTACCTTTTTAAGATTTCCGGTGCAATCAAATCACTTATTTGATTGCTGTCTTCATTCATTCCAGCTGATTTCCAAATATGCTGGATTTCTCTACAAACTTGATTAGCATGTTTTTTTGGCATAGCAAGAGTTTCGCTTAAGTAATCAGAAAATTTTGACATCACAAATGAATCTGTAGAAGTTGAATAATCAATAAAGTAGCATAGGGATTAGATATTTCATCATAGTAAACAGTATAAAAGCAATAAAAACTGTAGTACTTTAAAAACCATTTTTATTTTACTCCACAAGAAGATTTTACATAACTGGATAGTTTACAATATGTTTAAAATTAATGCAACTTTGTTATGCATTATTATGCATCATTTTTTATTGATTCAAGTGTATGGATATGTATGTAATGTGGGCGAGAGTGACAGACTTAAAAATGTTCCTATCGTTCCTTGACCATTTTAATTTTATTTTTATCTTCTTAATTTTATGTTTCAATAACATCCGATTTTATTACGCTTTTTGAAAGAGTGAAAATCAATGTTGAAAGTGAATTAAATTGAATAATATTAAGAGAGGAAAATAAATAGTTGTATGGTAAAGCATAGTAGATATGTTTAAAAAACAGGAAATGTAGATTAGTAGGAAGGGTGTTATTTAAAATTTACCATCTTTTTTTTCAAATTTCCTGAGCTTCCTATATTTTCTATACTCTTCACTGCCAACCTGAAAAACACATTAAAAACAAGCAGTCAAATGTATAGCAATAATGACTTTATATGATCAGCATAGCTCGGTAAACTGACAACAGAATGTGGCTTCCCTTCCATAGAATATTGTAACTGAGTCAAAACGAACTGCAAAAGTCTTAAACTTGAATTTGATAGTATCAAACTTTCAATTATATGTGTACCATTTCTTTAAACAAATCAGAGCCAATCCAGCCTTTTAAAAATAGATAGATAGAAATCTTTCTTTATTCTGGATACTCAGTCAGTATTAGTACACTGTTCTTCCCTGAGGTCCAGGGTATGATCTTAAACTACTTTAAATTAAAAACAGAATTGATAAAGAAATATATAAG